CGCAGGAAAGATACAGAAGAGATATACATGAACAGATACTATTTCGATCATCTAGCAGATGGAAAAAATTTGAATGTATGTGTACATGTTTGTAGTTTTGATTTGTAATCCCGTGAGTTCAAAAAAATGTGAGGTTTGTTTGCGCTAGACGGAGTTTTCAAATTTTAAAATAACAAAGGATTTAGCTATTTCAAGGCAAGTGATGCCACAACCGTGTAAAGTATTAATTAATGATCCAGTATTGTTTTTGTATTGGTTAATACTTTCTCAGTATATTGTTTAAATTGAGTCAGTTGAGAGAGTAGACTTTAAATACCTGTAAGGGTCGATGCAGTCGGGACGAAATTCAAGCTGCGGACCAAGTCTCGGCTAACAGTTGAAGTCGCACGCGCATCGTCTTCGTATATCTTACTAAATATGTTCCGTTGCCTTCAAGCTGCTGCTTTTCAACCCAACTCAAGATTTTGTCAAATAAACAGGAAATAACAAGTAGATCGATTGTCCCAATTGAAAGACGCCCTTGAATAGAGCCGGTTAGCAATGCCAATGGATTTTAACAAAGCATTAGCGCGGCTATAATGGCTTAGTGAACCGATTAAATAGAATAACTTTTATGGTTGTCATAGCTCAAGTCATAACGTAAGTCTGGCAATTTGTTGTAAAAGATTTTCTGGTTAAAATATCAGTGGGATAAAAACTGTCCATATGTGTTGAACAGTATTGGGTGTCAGACCCTTAACTCAGTACGGATCATGAAACAGAAAAAGAAAACAAGCTATTGCGTAATATCCGGTAATTTCGATTCCTACTCCATGGTTACATGCTGTTACTTTCTAATCCAGTTTTATAAACTCATTCACATACAAAAAAGTCGGCTCCGCCAGTGCGTAACGTACGCTGCGAGACTTCGCTCCGTCATTGCAATTACTAAGTCGAAGGGAACACCTTTGAACCAGCAGAGCCCGAAACAGCTTCCTTCGATCCGTAAACAAATCTGCAAAACAACGTGCTTTTTGCTGTTATAAAATTGTGACAAGGACAATCGCGCGCTCCTTCAACATCAAGAGCTCATGTAGCTCTACCAAATTCTTTGAACATTACGGGTTTCAATCGAAGAGAAGTCCGGCAAGCTTTCTCACTGTTTCCGTATATAACCAGACAATTTCAGTGTCATGCAATCAGTTGCAAGTGTGGGCTTGTCAACCTCTAACTCGAATGGCTTATTAGAAAGGGACTTTCCCTGATTATGAAATCAAACTCACACTTCGGCCATATTTTCATTGGCTGATGTATGTACGTATCCTGTGAGTGACAATTCTTTGGCTTGCCTCGCCGGCACCATCAAAGTCCGTGCTATAATATATGCGTGCACATGTTTCATGTACTCGAGCTTTCTAGCCACGTACGTAGTGTCATCCGTCAATTACCAACAAGGAATCATCATGAAGGGAGAAATTTTAGTATATCTAGCGCTTATCACTGGAATAACGGTGAGTTTTCATCTTTGCCTTCTTTTTGGTGTCGTATTGATTAAAATGTATGTTTCCAAAAAGACGCACGAGTTGAGAGCGCGAGTCTCAAAGGCCGAGCAAGATTAAATATATCTTATTAGATGTTTTGGTGTGTAGTATCGCTGTATATTTTTACGAGTTGTGCGGTATTTTGACGAGCCCTTAGGGCGAGTCAAAATACAAACAACGAGTAGTGAAAGAGGGAGAGTGTGACAGTTTTACGTGCGCCCGCTGACCAGTCAGGAAAACAGGTTACGTTTACTACCGTACAAATAACTGTGTAATATCGCTCCTTGGCCCGTGGATAGCAAGTGCTAATCTAGGCGGGCAGTTTATCGCTTATGCATATAACTAGATTTTAAATAACAATATTCCTCTTTTCTATTAGAGGACAGACGCATGATTGACGTCATCATTCCATAGTTTTTCCCTCTGTGTGTAAAATGGCGAAAAGTTTTGAGAATTTTGATACTATTTTACGTGACTGGGCAAAGATAAGGTACAAAAATGTCTTATCGAGGCATTGAACAAATACGAGAGCCTGGAACGAGAAAGAAAAAGCCGTTTCTTTTCTAGAACTGACTCAGAAAAAATAGTCGAGCAGTTTTAGTCGGCAGTCGAGCGAGACTAAACCAAAAGCAAACTTGGTCTTAAAATTACTGTAAGATAAGAAAACATTGCTTTGTCTAGAATTTAACAAAACCAATAAGCAAAATATTAATTTGTTGAATTTGCTGAACCATTTCCTGTTTTGTTTTAATCAGCATCATCTAGAACAGTTTCAGCGTTATTAAAAATAATAACAAACTTTCTACCGCGAAACTATATAAAGCTTTACAGTAAGACAATGATCTAAACCTATAATTTTAATGATTAATTAGCCTGCGAACAGGCTCTCAAGTATTGCGGCAGGAGTAAGGTCGATCGATGAGCAAAGTCATGTGCTCATGAATATATAAATTATTCATTTCCTCCAAAGTACAGTCTTGGAATGCAGCTAATGGAACAATGGTGTCATGCACAACAAAGAACGTGACTATCCGAAAATTTCGAGACAAAACTTTTTGTCAATCAATCATTTCCTGTTTTGTCTGGATATTAAATTCGGACTTGTTCTCAGTTCTACCTGTTGCGATCGCCAACTAGAAATTAAGGATCGAATCTTGGGGCTCTCTTTGCTATAGGAAAACGACCAACTTAAAAAAAAGCCTGTTGTAAAAGGGAACTGCTCTCCTGACCGACAACTTTTAGCTGAACTTTTCCGTGTCTCTGCCAAGCGGATAACTTCACAAGGGACTTTCCCGCATCCCAACATGCAATTCGCGACCATTGGGCTCTTCATTCATAAGCAAAATGACCTCGAAAATAACGTCATTTTCCGTTCAGTCGACGGCGAGATTCATCAGCTTGAGGTCACCTTGTTTTGAACATAGTTTGAACAGTTCCACTTCCAGTGATAATTAAGGAAATACGATGCTCCGAGCGACTGGTTTATTTGTAGGATTCGTCGTTGCATTTATGGCATCGTCGGTGAGTACATTCATTCAGTGATATTTCACAAATTGACATGTATCATTCGTATTTATGTAGGGTTTACTTGTGCGCTAAATTGTTTCTTTCAGTGAGCTGAATATTTCGCACCTGTTTTCCTTTCGACTTTCATCGCAAAGTTTAATAATTTATTTAATTCCCATATCATTTGTTGGAGGTTTTTGAGTACATTTTTTCTCGTTATTATCAAAATTAATTCAAACGCACCAGCAGTACATAACTTATCACTTGAATAAAACAACTCCGCCACTTGGAGGATCACGTGATTGTGGCATACCGTGTTAATTTAAATTTATGCGTTCCCAGCTCTTGAACTTACAAGGAACAAAAAAAAAATTAGTTGCCATTTTAGTTTCACTTAATAAAAAGGAAAAAACTCCGGCCTATTGTCCCAAATATTCAGAAATGTCTTAAACATCAAAGAACAATAGTGCTGTTAAAAGAGCACACTTCACTGC